TAGAGATTTTCACCTGTCAGACCACGCAGCACTATTATTATGCTGTCTTGTGTTTAAGAAGACTTGTGCTTAAGTTCAAAGAGAGGAAAGGAAGCAACTTCTGGGAAAGTTCAAAAATGCCTCGGGAAGCTTAAAAACAGAAACACTGATTATATCTTTCACTTTGCTAGAAAGGAAAAAATTGAAGGAAAAAAAATCAAGATCCTTATGTTTAAGGGCATTCTTCCTACAGAGTTGAAAGCAAATGCCGAGATTTGTAATGGTTAGAGGGAATTCAGGACAGTGAAGAACCCTCCAATCCTCTTAAAAAAGGTTCAGTAGAGATTGAATAGTTTATTCCTCTCTTCCCCCCAACTCCCTCCAAAAAAAAAAAAACAAACCCTAGACATAGTGCAAGAGGCTGTTTGGAAAAAAAATTATTCGCTTCTGGCATGCCTTCCCTGTTTCTGATGTTCTTCAAGAATAAAAACAGACACAACACTGTCCAAACAGGGAAACAAGAGAACCAATGTCGTGATTATTCCACCTTCTAAAATGCCTGCCACAAATCAAGTTTCTTTGTCTTTTTTCTTTTTTCTATTGGTGGGAAATGACTGCCTAATTTGAATAAACAGGGGACATTGACCCTCAATCTGCCCAGGCTTTAAAAGCTTTTATCCAGGACACTTCTAATTCTGAAACAATAATCACAACAACCCATGTATATTAATGAACCAACAGGAAATCATTGTACATTTTCTTTTTAATGTCTCATTAAGAACAATAAGATGCAAGTAGAAACCGGCATAATATTCTTAAGCAGCAGTCTCCAGCAATTCCCTCTCTGCACGCTCCTTAATCCTTCTCTCAAGCTCTGGCCTAAAATGCCTTATGAGACCCTGCACAGGCCAAGCCACAGCATCACCCAAGGCGCAGATAGTGTGGCCTTCAATCTGTTTGGTCACATCCTGGAGCATATCTATCTCTTCCAACTTTGCATTCCCAACCTTCAACCTTTCCATGATCATCCAAAGCCATCCTGTTCCCTCCCTGCATGGGGTGCACTGTCCACAGCTCTCATGCTTGTAGAAGTAAGACAGCCTTGCAATTGCATCCACAACATCAGTAGATTTATCCATCACAATCACTGCGGCAGTAACCCATCCTGACGTGACAGCCCTTAGTGCATCACAGTCCATAAGCACATCATCACATGTGCTTGGGGAGCAGTGGGACAGAAGAACTGCCTGGTATTACAGCAAGTAAATTGTCCCATCCACCTCGAAAACCTCCACAGTGCCTCTCTATTAACTCCTTCAGTGGAATGCTCATCTCCTCTTCAACTGTGCAAGGCTTGTTCAAATGACCTGGCACGCAAAATAACTTGGTCCTAGAGTTGTACATCGGCCAAAACTTGCAAACCACTCTGGACCATGCCTTAAAATGGTGGGAGAGACAGCCACTGTTTCTGCATTTGTAACAGTGGTGGGGCAGCCATACAGCCCAGCATTAGCTGGGAAAGGAGGCTTCAATCTTGGTTTCCCTTGTTTTCCTTCAAGGCTTTCCAAAAGCGTTGTCTCTTCAACACAAATGTAAGCACCAGCACCAAAGTGGATATGGACATCAAAATCATAACCAGATCCACACGCATTCTTGCCCAACAGCCCTGCTTCACAAGCTTCTTTTCTGGCTCTTTCCAGGTTTAATTCATTCATTCACATATCCACCCCTAATGTAGATATATGCAGCAGAAGCTCTCATTCCTACCCCAGAAATCAAGCAGCCCAATAAGAGCTTGTGTGGATTATGCCGCATGATTTCCCTGTCTTTGCAGGTCCTAGGTTCACTTTCATCGGCATTGACAACAAGATATGAAGGGCGACTGTCTGTAGTTTTTGGCATAAATGACCATTTCAGGCCAGATGGGAAACCAGCACCACTGTGTCCTCGGAGGCCAGACTTCATAACTTCATTAACAATCCAGTCAGAACCCTTGAGCACCACGTCTTTAGTTCTATACTAGTCACCCCGTTTCATGGCACCTTTGAGGAAAGGGTCATGCCATCCGTACAAATTGGTAAAAATTCGGTCCTCATCTTTGAGACCTCCAAAATGGGTTTTCTCTGGAGGTGGCAGATGCTGAGGAGCACCATTGATGCAGCTTGGGTACTAAATAATCTGAAACCAACTCCCAACCTCTCTCTTTGACGCTGCACCAAAACTTCTCTTTGCAAGGAAAAAATACCCCTGATGGGTGACTATACAAGAAAACCAAAAATCAGCATATGCCGTAACATTATGAATTTCAAATGTTAATTCAAATGCCTAATGTAACATCCACATCCACTACATGTTTTCTTAAGAACTCAATTCACAACAAAACAAACATAGAACTTGCATAACCATACTGATAGCACGATTGCTAAAAAGTATAGCTGAAACCCATCAATAAAATGTGACTCACCAATCCACGAATAGAACTCAAATATACCACCAAGCCCGCACCCATGCCCATTCCAGAACAACAACAAAGAAAACTCATTAACAACCGAAAACAACAGTCCACCACAAACACAAGCAAATTCTAACTTCCAAAACAGATTACAGATTAGGCTCTGTTTTAACACTAAAACCTAAGCCAAACACATTGATTAAGCTAAGCTAATTAAAGCTTCTAAAAAAACCAGGATCTAACACATAGAATTGTTTAATGATCGTTCATATACTGTACTAAAACATGATTATCTACAAGAACTAAAAAAAATCATGAAGATTAAGCGAAACCCTAAGACAGTGAGAAATGAATTTAAGAAAAGAAAAAAGGCATCCGAGAGGGCAATACCATAGCACGAAATGTAGCTGGCGAGCTTTGATGATTCGAGAGAATCGGCTACAACAAATCCAGATGAGAAATGAATTACTAAGAAAATATGGAAATCATATTGTCATTGAGTATGCAAGATGAACGGCAATGATTTCTGATCTTAACTGGAATGCCCGTGGTCACTCCGGGTACCACGTTGCAGAGACACCCGACTGCTGTTATCGTGATTCTCACGGTTATTTTTTTTAACATGTAAAAATATATTAAAGTAGTATTTTTTAAAAATTGTTTTATTTTTAATATTAGTAAATTAATATTAAAAAAAAGTTAAAAATTAATTTGAAAAATAATTTGATGTTTTTCTAAAAAAAAAATTAAGCTAGAGTATTTAAAATTGTAGTCATAATTGTTTTTAAAGTGTTTTTATTTAAAAAATATGAAAATAATATTTTTTAAATTAATATACTAAAACAATTAAAAATTAAAAACGTTTTTTTAAATACAAAAATACGTTCAGAATTCAGCCTGGATCATCAGCTCAAGTTGTTTGTCGGAGCATAAACCCAAGCCCAGTTACGCTTGAGAAATGATACACTGACCACGCCTATTCACCTATTCCTTCCACTAGAGTATACAGGTGCATTTTGGTCCTAAACTTTTATAATTACACAAAAGAGTCCTTGAATAAATTAGAAATCTTATCATTTGATTATGTTTATCCCTTCCAACATCCACGGAATTACACAGACAAAACTATGCAAGGAAGAGGTGCTTTAAGGAAGATAGCTTCAATCGATGCTCGGCTTACTTGTCTTCGCTTGACCCAACTTATGTTCTGACAACAGGTTCACCATGGGTTCTACTAAATAATTCATAAATCATTAAAGTGAGTTTAGAATTATAGTTGTAGTAGTAGTGATTTAATTTTTTTTATTTAGAAATGTAATAAAATAAAAAAAAATATTTTTTAATATTAACCTATTAAAAAAATCTAAAAAAATAAAAAAAAATATTTTAAATAAAAATATTTAAAAGTTTTAAAAATATAATTTATATCATATTTTTAAACACACCCCAGTATTCAACGAGATGTTAACATGAAAATACTTCACATACAAATAAAAAAAATAAAAAAAGTATTCCACATTATGAAGTATGAACAGATGAAGATTGAACGTTCCTAAACTATGTCGTGTATCATGAACTCATTGCCACGTCACTTCCATACATTCGCAATGTACGGGTTACCCTGTACATGCATAAACGTTAAAAGACATCTGTACAGATTGCGGTTGATCTGGCGGTGGAGCTTGGCAATTGGCCTTTTTAAGCTTCCTTGCCTATGTTATCGTGCTACTTTAATCAGGGGATCCAAGGCCGATTAAAGTATTTTCCCTAACCTAATTATTTTTCCGAGCATGCTTGGTGATAAGGATTGAAAATAACAACGGGACTCGTCATGCCACACCAACTTGCTTAATAAAACAACTAGGAGGACAGCCATTAATGTCAAAATCAGAAGGGAAAAAAAAGAAGTATAAGGGGTTTAATTTAATTGATTAAATTTATTTTAAAAAAATTATTAGTTTGAGTTTTATAAATTTTAAAATTATTAAATATTTATATAATTATTAATTTTAAAGCTTATGAGATTAGTTGAAATATATATAAATTAATTCAGATATTTATGTTAATAAAAAAAAAAAAAGATTTTATCTAAAAATTTGGTTAGAAAAATGTATAATATTGATAGTTATTTTTCAAAACTAATTCTTCTTAATATAAATTTGTAAAAATAAGAGAAGAATTTCAATATGGAAAATAAAATTAGATTCGTAATTAGCAAGACAAAATATAATTAGTCTTAAATCCTTTTTTTTTCATATAGTAACAATTTTGAATATATTAAGGGTATACTTGCTTGCATGGTGTTTTTTTTATTTGATTTGTTTTATATTATTTTTTTATATTTTTAAATTGTTTTAATATGATAAGGTAAAAAACAAAATTTATAAAAATAAAAAATTATTTTAATTTATTTTTAAATAAATAAAATTTTAAAAAATAATGTTAATGCTAATTGATAAATATTTTTTATGAGAATTATTTTAAAAAAATAAATTTATCATAAATCACAAATGAAAGGAAAATATGTAACAAGTAATTACTTTACATTCCAATAAAAAAGTCTCGCGGGATTCAAGCAAGAAGCGACAAACACCATTTTCAACGTAAAGCATGGCAAGGTACAGCGCATACACTTAGCAGCAGGAGTTCGTCACTCCAAAACTCCCTCGTCCTTTCTGTATCTTTCATCATCTTCACAGCAACGATTCCCGGCCGACAAGAAAGAAAGCAAGAAAGAAGGTCTCTTCTCTCTCGATCTATATTAGCTTCCCTGTTTTCACTCTGAAATAAATTTTTTTTTTTTTTTGTGAGATTGGATTGGACTGACTTGGAATTTTGATAAAAAATATTAAGAGGGAGAAATGAAACTGACACCAAGAGAGGTGGATAAGCTAGGACTCCACAATGCTGGATTTCTCGCACAGAAACGCCTTGCTCGAGGCCGCAAGCTTAATTATACAGAGGCCGTTGCTCTTATTGCCTCTCAGGTAATTTACCTTTCTTCCTTTTCTTTTCGTGTCCGGTTCTGGCACAGTAGCACTGATTCTACGTTTTTATGAATGGAGAATAATTTTAATACCAGTTTCCCCCCCTTTTTTAATAAAAAATAGAGTGTTATTTGTATTTTGAATTCATTTATTTGCTATAATTTATAAGAAAAATAGAGGTGCCTAACGCCTATGGTTTTCTTCTTTATAGATTTTGGAATTTGTTCGCGATGGTGACAAGAGTGTAGCTGAATTGATGGACATTGGGAAACAGATACTTGGAAGGTAGGTATAATAATAATAATAATAATTCTAACACTAATTATAATTATCTTAATTAATATTTGTTCTAGTTAGTTAATCTTTCTTTGATGGAGTTGCAGATGAGATGTCTCGTTAAGACACATGCTCCTCCAGTCTGTAATATTAGTAGACATATAGGATTTCTCCATAGCAGTTAGTTACCTGTGATTCTCACTAATGAGCCGTGGATTGGAACTTTTTATGAGATCTTGTTTGTTTTCTCAGTTTATTTTTCTGTTGAGATGCTGTTTTTTTTATTAATTAATATTGAATCTGTGCATTGGAATTTTTTAATTTATAGGTTCTGATTTGTCCGTGTTTAATAACAGGAGACAAGTTCTTCCAGCAGTTCCACATCTTCTCGATACTGTACAGGTATTAAGAAGCTTCATTAAGTTCTAAATAGCTTTGAAGTCATGCTTTATGAACTTTATCAGTTATCACACGATTCATCAATCCAAATTCTCTAATGCGGATAGCTACTTTGTGCCTCAATGAATTATGAAAGAAGATGAAGATTTACTGTTTCTTGTTTGCAAGTATGAGTATGAGTGATGCATCAGCACAAACAAACATGAAAGGGATAAGAGGATCAAGGGTATAAAAAATACCGTGTACTGTAGTTTGAAAGTGAAAACCTGGCAGATATTCTGCTTATGTATTGATGTCTACTTGATGAAAAGATGATGCCAGAATATATGGTGTCAGATCTTTTATCAAACTTATCAACTTGTTTATTCATCATAATCTTCCATAAACTACCTTATTAAGTAAAACTAACTGTAGGTTGAAGGGACATTTCCTGACGGGACCAAGTTAATCACTGTACATAATGCGATTGCTAGTGAAAATGGGAATCTGGAGCTAGCTTTACAGGGTTCTTTTCTTCCAGGTAAGGGCTTGCCTTGGGGATATCCCATTGTTTGAAATACTTTATTAATGAACCTGATCCGAGAATCGAAGCTTCTAGTGAAGGTTCTCTGTTTTACCTTTATACTTAATGAAGGTTCAACTTCAAAATAAGCATTATACAAAACCCAAGATTTTTTCTGAATGAAATTATTTGTACCCTTATAGTTTCTGTTGTTGCTCGCTGATAAATGTTCACAGTATGTTGTTGTCTTCTCTCTGTTTATTTTTTATGTGTTTTATTTACAATGCCATTTTTTTCCTTTTTACTTTTTTTTATTTATCTTGTAAGAAACTGGTTATAAAAAATTATTCTTGTTCCATATTCTAAGGCCACAAGTTTTTTTCTTGAGAAGATCATTGTGCATAATTGAGGAGTGACTTGGGAAATATGAGAACAAGATAGATACTATTGCATTATGGTCTCGGGTTGGTTGGTGCATTAGAGAACTTAGAATCAAATTATTTTTAACTTGACAGAAAATTTCACTTGCATATCCCGCTTCTCATCATCCTTGCATTTTACACTCTTCAATCTTCCATGATGTTGTTTGTACTTGAAATGCTCTATTATGAGCTTTCCATGCACACTAGTGTAGTATTACGTGAAGGCTAGTTTGTACAAACTTGTATGCAATTTAGTTTCTAATAACTTGATGGAGGGAAATTATTCTGCAGTTCCTTCTCTCGACAAATTTCGTACAATAGAAGATAATGAAATTCCTGGTGCAATGATTAATTATTTTTAACTTGACAGAAAATTTCACTCGCATATCCCACTTTTCATAATCCTCGCATTTTACACTCTTCAATCTTCCATGATGTGGTTTGTACTTGAAATGCTCTATTATGAGCTTTCCATGCATGCTAGTGTAGTATTACGAGAAGGCTAGTTTGTACAAACTTGTATGCAATTTAGTTTCTAACTAACTTGATGGAGGGAAATTATTCTGCAGTTCCTTCTCTCGACAAATTTCCTGCAATAGAAGATAATGAAATTCCTGGTGCAATAATCTTTGGAGACGGGAATGTCATAATTAATTCTGGAAGGAAAGCAGTAGCCCTCAAAGTCATTAACACTGGAGACAGGCCAATTCAGGTGCTCTTGCTATGTGCTATTACAGTCGTCTCTTCCCAGGATGCCCAGCCTCTGTGTGGCAATAAATGAAGCAACTGCGTTGATGTCTTTTCATTATTATGTTTGTCAATGATATACCATTGTTTCAGGTAGGGAGCCACTATCATTTTATTGAGACAAATCGGAATTTACATTTTGATCGAAGAAAAGCACATGGCATGCGCTTGAACATCCCGGCTGGGACAGCCATACGATTTGAGGTTGAAATTTGTAACTCTTACTGATTTTATCACCTTTTCATGTTTCAGTTATTTAATTTCAGTGAAAGCATTTTTCTTTATATCTTTCTGTTACATTTAGTTTTCTTACAGAAATTGTAAAATGTGGCATATTCTTGAATCCTAAGAAATCTTAGATGCTGGACTGCTGGTAAATTACTCAACTTCAAAGTATTCTCTGTGTGGTGATTTGAAATGTTAATGTGTTGAAAATTGCGGGTAGGAGTTAAATGATGCATGATTAGGAGAACCCATCCAGCAATTGAAAGTTCCTGGCATAAAATATGACAAGATAGTCACAAGATTTTCATAGCATGCTTGTAGATTATTATTCCAAGGAGCAATTTGATATTAAGATATCCCAGGGTATTAGGAGAGAAGTTAAAATAACCTCTCTCTATCTCTTTTTTTGGTTGAAATCTTGTGGTATAAAGTTGTTTCCTAACTTGGGTATCATCTACTGTAGTCTTATCTATTTCGAAATCAATCCTGTCATTGCATTTTCTGTGATGTGCTAAAGGTTTTTCTACTTTGCCAGCCAGGGGAAAGTAAAAGTGTAGTGCTTGTAAGCATTGGAGGCAAACAGGTTATCAGAGGTGGAAATGGCATTGTTGATGGGCCTGTCGATCATGAAAACTGTACCAATATCATGGGAAACATAAAGAGGAGAGCATTTGGGAATCGAGAAGAAGAAAATGCTAGGTTTAGAATTTCTTACCTAACAATTCAGCTGCTTGTTGCTTCTATTCTGTGTTGTCCAAAGGATTTATTGATTACCCTAGTCAGCCACACTGATTAGAGATAGTGAAGATGCATGACTTTTTTGCAGTGAAGGTTTAATTGGAGAAGGTTCTGCATTCAACAATACAATTTCTCGTGAGGCTTATGCTAACATGTATGGCCCTACTGCTGGTGACAAGATTCGTCTTGGTGATACCAACCTGTATGCTGAAATTGAAAGAGATTTTGCATTTTATGGTGATGAATGTGTCTTTGGAGGTGGAAAAGTTATAAGGGATGGAATGGGTCAGTCATGCGGACATCAACCAGCTGACTCACTTGATACCGTTATAACAAATGCTGTGGTCATTGATTATAGTGGAATTTACAAGGCAGATATTGGTATTAAGGATTATCTTATTCATGCTATTGGAAAATCAGGAAACCCAGATGTCATGAATGTTACCTCTGATATGACTATTGGGGTAAGCTCCATCTTGTGATGACAAAGATAATCAGAATTCCTGGTGTCAGCCATGTCAATGACTCATTTGGTCCACCTTTTTCTTATTTGTCTCTTATAATTGTTTTAACACTGGGGTTATTTACAATTAGGTTAACACCGAGGTTATTGCGGGGGAAGGAATGATTGTAACTGCAGGGGCCATAGACTGTCATGTGCACTTCATATGCCCTCAACTCGCATTTGAGGCAATATCAAGTGGTGAGCTATATAACGAGAAATTCTTCAGCAC